CGACTTTCCTCACTGATCTGATAAAGTTCTAGACAGTAGATCGAAACGTCGCCTCCAAACTACCATTCGAAAATAAAACCCGTTACACTAACCAGAACGAAAGACCAGCGTTTGTCTCCTAGTTTGTTTTGTTTGTTTCCCCTACTTTTTTTTTTTTTTTGTCAAGTATGTTAAAAATATAAAGTATCTTCACTTAGTTAATAAGAAATAGTTCATCATGGTTAATGCTTGAAGAAAATGCATGTGATATAACATAATGAGTGTGTCATACAACAGATGGGGTTTGAAATACGTCATTTCGTCTATTAAAGCTGTAATAGTGTAAATAAAGCGGCTAAGACAAACCTGTCGAAGTAATCGTCATCAAGATCTATAGAAAAGTTAAAACTGAAACTTGGATAAATGACTCAGAGAAACTACTGCACTCAAACCCCAGCAAAAGAAGCAATAAAACTACATATAGAATTGTATGAAACCACTATAATTATAGTTACTACACATCAAACAAAAATCTAATTGCATCTGAGGATGTGTTCCAACAGCTTAAGGGAACTGCATTTTCAGACAGTTCAAAACGGACAGGTTTTAAAACCAAAAATTGATGAAGGCAGGAGTCGGAACATAGAACATAATTTTAAAGAATGTTGGGCTATATAGTGAAGGCTTTCACATAGCTATGTTTTTAGTTGTTCTTTTGCGTTTTTTTCACCAAACAGTATAATACACAAGTCTGAAATGTTTAATTAAAAAGAAGGAAAGAAAGGTCCAAGTTTATAAATGAATAGAATAAATTTTACGATTTCAATTTTAGTAATTTATGGAAGATATTGGTACATGGGCTAAATGATGAGATCCGAGGTTCCTAGAATTTAAATATAGCCATCGATAATTTTGAACTACTGATCGGAGGGAAAGCAGCAAATTATCTGCACCCGCAGCCATAAAGGATTATCCCGGCTTTGAATCAAATAAGGGATTTTGTGTCACTCTTATAACACACTAACAGCTTAAATAGTGAAGCGGCATCGTTTAGATAGTTTTCACCATTCCAAAACGTCAGCCAGATTAGCTAATCATTAGGCCGCTCCCAGTTACAGTTAAAGAAATCTTAAATGAATATTCAATTAATTTTTTTTATAAATAAATTTCACTACAATGCACTAAATTATTTTATATTTTCGATTAATAATTATATTTATACATATGTATTTTTAAGGTAACATAAACTTAATGTTTCACATCCAAAACTACTTTTATTTCGAAGCTAGAAAAACGAAGAATGTTTATTTTACTGTCATCCTTTATTGCTGTTATTTTGCTGTACTGTAAAGGTAGAATACATCTACAAGTTGGTGTAAAAATATGATATAGTATAATTTCATATTAGAGAACGAATACTGGCTTCTAATAAATATAATATTCGAAAATACACATATAAAACAGTTTAGAATGACATCTCAAAATCACCATAAATTAATTTCATCAAGTAAAGAGGTGTTTGGAAGTCTTATGGCCGTTTGTTTTGTATTTGGATCATGTGTCATGTGAAGCATGTGTCAAAATATTGAAAATCTCTTTGTATTAAACTGTGATAAGACTTAGATTTCCTTATATATAAAAATATATATCTAAAGATATACAAATTAAACAAGTAATTGTAATACTTGACAATATTTAATGTAGTTTCACACATACTGCGAAATGACATTAGTCATTACTGAAGCCTGGCATGGCTTGGTGGTTATGACTCTCGATTCACAACCTGCTAGTCACGGGTTCGAATCCCGAATCACCGATTTCAGCCGTGGGAGCGTTATAATGTGTTTTCTCTATAGTCTCTCACTGCTAAATTAGTGAAGGCTAGCGTAGATACCCCTCAAGTATCTTTGTGCAAAATTCAAACCAAACTTATAATTTCTTTTCGAGCACACTACAATAAGAGTAAATAACAGGGAATCCTCAATAGCCGCGGCATTTGAAATTATTTTAGGCAGGAATAGAGTAAATTAATCTATGAGACTTTTTATTTTACTTTTTTCATCTTAGGCAGGAATGAAGTAAATCTTTGATACCTTGGGCGTGGTCAAATATAATAATCGAAAGGGTTTGACCTCCTGGGTCCAAAACTGTAATTATATCTCAAATCGGTCAAGAGATGATGGAGCTATGAGCTAAAGGTTTGTACTTGAAAAAAAAATCAAAAACTCAGAGCCGTTCTATGAGCACCTATTCCACGGCTAAAAACAAATTTTATTAAAACTTAGAACCTTCGAAAGCATCCATAAATATAACTCTGAAAACAAGAAATAAAGGGGACAACATCTTTGTGGTGTGGCGACACAACGGTAAAACCCTTAAAGTCCGTGAATGATAATGAGGAATGAATTTCATTCATTATGGAGTCAAATGAACATTAATTGACCTTTTTAGAAATCATCATTAAAAATCATGTTAATAAATTTAAATTAGATGTATTTTGAAAACCTTTTGCCGTCAGAATACCACCACATTATAATTGTAACTACCGTTTAAGTCAGAAACTAAGCATTTTTTTATACATATGCTTGGCGTGCTAGTAATATATGTTCTGATATTACAGATATAAACAACGAAAAAATGTATTTAAAAGTAATAGTAGTAGATAGAAGTTATGCCCCTATAACTGTTGACAGAGCTTTCTATAAAATGAACGACAAACATCTAAAAATGAAATACTCTGAATTAACTTCATTAAAAACATCTTAAAACAATTTCATTAGCATACCATTTTTTTTCTGGGATTTCGAAAAAATTGCTAAAGCATTCCGATTTAAGGGTTACAAAGTATCGTTCATTTCACAAATAAAAATTGTTAATCATTTACAAATACTCAAAGATTCCAAAAAAAAAAAGAGTATTTGTATAATTAAAAACAGATTTGTGTGCATAAATAGAGAAGACGGACCAATCAAGATGACCTATTTGAATAAGTAATCCCTCATTTACAATTTACTTTCCACCTCTTGTTTCCTGATCTTTTTAAAAATGAACTCAATCATTAACGGTTGTAGCTGAATATAAGCTAAGCAAACACTATAGATACTAGCCCTGATGATAGTAACTGTATTACCGAAACTAGTCAGCTGTAAATACTAATAATAGTTTACCTTTCATTGTGCCAAAAATTTCGGTTTTTGTGTTTTTTTACTCTTAAACCAAACCAAACTCACGTCATTGTCCTAAGTAATGGGGCAGAGCGTGGTCCATTAATTAGAGTGGTTCCTTCAATTTGAGGCCGTGGGTACGTTATAAGGGTGACGGTGAAATCTCATTATTCAGTCAGACAAGAGTACCCTTGAGTAGCCCTTGATTGATTGTTTGATTGTAATTAAGCACAAAGCTACACAATGGGCTATCTGTGCTCTGCCCACCACGGGTATCGAAACCAGGTTTCTAGTGTTGTAAGTCCGCACACATACCGCTGTGCCACTGGGGGCGTAGCCCTTGAATAGATGAAAACAAACAAAAATAATTATATATTTTCTCTTTGGTACAACGATCTTCTTAAATAATTGATAACAATAATTTCCTCCTTTCCTTATCAAATCATCTCCTACCCTTGTAAGATAATTATATCTTATTTTGTTTGATACATTTACTTTCACTGTATCCTAAGTGATATCCCCTGGGTCAAATATTTAATGCCATGCTTCCAATATATTTATGTATTGTTGGACAGATTAATAAACTTCTGTTGGGTGTAAAGTTTTCCAAATAAAAACTTGTATTATGTACCTAAAGCTATCGACAATACAAGTGAGCTATATAAGAAAATCTCTTGGTAGGGATGTCCTTAGGACTGCATTTACACATAGGCAGAGTAGGCAGCTGCCTAGAGCGATAAATTTAAGAAACATCGAACAAAAGCGGCCACAAACATTTAATGAATTATGTTTTTATTTAATCTTGTTTGGTGGGGACGTTTCAACCCGCCGCACCAGATCGAAATACCAATAAAGAAAGCTGAGCGATCACGTAATTAATGACGTAACTAATACAAAGACTTCATTTCTGGATTGATCACGTGGAGGTGGGGGGCAGCAAAAACATATCCGCCTAGTGCAGCACAATACTTTAATATGGCCCTGGGTGTCCTGTGGGTCAAACTTTGAATAATATGCTTCCAATACCTTTTCAATTCAGTTTAGGAGCTGTTTGAGTATTTCTACTACCTTCATTGGTAGCCTATTTCATAAATTGATAAATCTTTGTGAAAATATGAGGAGGTTCTGTCTTACTTCTAAATTACTTCTGCTAAGTCGATACCTTCATGCTTGTTTATGTTTTGTTGATTTGTTTGTTTACTGAATTTTGTGCAAAGCTATTCAAGGGCTACCAGCGCTAGTCGTCCTTGATTTTGAAATAATAGAATAGAAGGAAGGCAGCTAGTCAACACCAGTTACCCCACCCACCGCCGATTCTTTGGTTACTTTTATCAACGAAGAATGATATTGAGCGTCGCATTATAACGCCCCAACAGCTGAAAGGACGAGCACGTTCGGTGACGAGGTTCAACCTCAAGAGTAGCAGATTGCTTATGAATTCCTAAACCGATTAAAGTTACATTTTCAGTTTTATATACCAGCTAATTTAAAAGTTACACTTATGCAGTCTAATGACTTTTTCGTATAATGTGAAATACTTTTTTCTCGTTTTCTTTTTTTTTTCCTTAGAATATCATATATATCTTTGGAGACGGCTTGAATGGGTAATGAAGAAAAACTTATATTAAAGTTTTTCTTCATTACCCATTCAAGACGTCTCCAACCATTATTAGTCTCAAAGTGGGTTCCTCGTCATCGAATATATATCTTTAGTGTAACTTTCAAATAAGAAAACAAACTTAAAACTTTATTAATTGCTAAATATATTATAATATATTTGATTTGATTATAATTATTATTCTAAGGTAATATCTTAATTTCATCACAAGAAAGAAAGAAAAGGGGGATTGCATAAAAGACGTCGCTAATAGTTACAGAAATGGCGAAATGGCTGGACATGGGCATAGTCATGGAGGATGTGATCATTCAGGTACTCAGCTTCCTCCGGATCAAGGAATACATTATAGTTTGTACACAAAAATCGACAAAGCCAATGTTGAATGCTTAAATGAAGCAGTGGAAGGCTCAGGAAAAGAGGTCTTTAAGCCATGGGAAGAACGTCTTAACCACGATAAGGTAAACAAATTAACTTCAACAGTTCTGAAGAAGGCCCCAGACTCAGTATAGAATTTAGAGCTGAAACGTAGTCTCGTTTTCTTTCATTCAACAGACAGTTGTAGTCCATTAAAGTTTTCAAACCCATTATGTTAGTCTTGTGTAGAAATCACGCCCGGTCTGTCTTAAAGTTAAATTGAAGTTAAAACAATTTGTTTTAGTAATTATTTGTGTAACTCCATTATCTGTAGTTTAGACGTAACACTCGACACTTACTCACAATGCTTGAAATTTGAATTAATTTAATTAGATCATTATGTACCCACAATTCTACCACAAGCTTTCCAAGTTTTGAAATTTACCGTTCAAAATTAGTTTTTTTACAAACTATATGAAATGTATTTGGTTAAAAAGTAAATTAACAAAGCTTTGTAGTATCTTTTACTTATTCAAAAAATACATGATTGTCTGCTTAATTTTCATCAGACAGTATGGAGGTAAATAAATAACATTGGTTGTTATTAAAATTATTTGAAACACTGTTATTATTATATGAAGTGTTTAATGATGTACTTTGCTTTAGTTTTAGAGGAATTAAATTGTTTTCTTTTTGCAAATCTATAAGAAATATTGTTGGTTAAAAAGGAAATTAGGAAATCCAAGAGGTCTTTACTTTAGTTGATATGTAAAACAACAGCCTCATAACGTTAAAACTAAAAGTGAAAAAATTTTCAGTACCTTAAAGGTATAGGAAATGTTAAAATGGGGATTGGGCCTTAAAAGATTCTGATGGCAAAACATCTCTTGATGGCTAAGCTTTCTAATATTTACATCAGTTTTCACAAGAGGAGAGTTCTGTGGAACATGCAGGAAATGACCTGGATCGTGTGGATATTAATCTTTGAATGGTAATACGGGTAGTAAAACAAAAGTAAGGCTGTGTCTATACACCTGGGAATGGGAGTGAAGAAGGTAACCACATTGAATAAATATGACTTTGTAGGTGTACTTGGGATGTTTCTCATTAACCTGTTGCTATTGATTTCCTCTCTCAGTAAAGGCAGAAAAGAGTTCCATATGGCACCCCCACCCAAAAATTGTAGAATTGTCTGGATAAAAAAGATTCTGAAAAGGGTTTATTTTAAGGGGGTGTATTAGAAAAATTGGGGCATGGCTTTTTGGGGATTACCAAAAAAAAAAATGAAAAAAAATGTTCCAAACTACTT